GTTCCCACCCCCGCCCCCCTCCCTCTCCTCAGCCCGTCTGCCTCGCGGTCGTGTAGTCTATAACCTCTCCGCAGCGCGGGCACGGGGGCTCGTACGAACCCACCCGGGGGCGGTGGGTGACCGGGGAGGTGGCACCCGCCGCTCTTTCTGCCCTCTGCAAGCCGGGCAGGCTGAGCCCCGGGGGGTGCCGGCTGCCGGGAGAGCCAGAGCGGTGCTCCCAAACCTCGCAGGAGGGACCCGAGACCGGGACAAACGGGAGCAGCGTGTCAGCCCTGCTGCGTGCAGCCTCTCCTCCCTGCGGGTGATGGGGAAAAGGCTGCTCCGCCCGAGCAGAGCCACCCGCCTTCTCAGCAGCTTTTGTTCTTTCCTTCTCTTGCAGTGGGATTGCCTCGCTACCAGCATCACCCCTCCCCGGTGTGTGACAGGAAAGATTTTGTCCTCAATTTTAACGGTATTTCTTCGTTTCACCCTTCCGCTAGCGGATCTTACTACCACCACCACCACCATCAAAGCGTCTGTCAAGACATCAAGCCCTGCGTGATGTGAAGGCAAGCGCCGCGACAGAGACAATCAGGTGGCATTGAACAGAGCCGAAGCGTAGGCGGACCCACGCAGATTAAATACAATGTGCACTCTGATAGCATTGATAGTACACGAGTCACTTAGCCAAATTACCTAAGGAAGCCGTGTTGTCGGTCCCCCTCCATCCCTTGAAGGACACGTGCAGCCGATATAACGCCCCAAAGCTCTTCCTAAAAGACAAAATGTCTTGAGTGATGTGCTGGGTTAGGTGGGACTTCAGGGTCCTTATGCCAAGTCTGACCAGCTTAATCGTAAACCTCCTTTCTGTGATCTCCTAAAGAATCGAGCTTTGGGAAAGGGAACAATTCGATTTTTTTTTATACGATAAAGTGTCTTTGAATAGGAAAAATAAAGCTCCCAGCTCAGCATCTGCGAGGACTCCCCCTTCCGTTGCTGCCTTAGCGGGAAATTTACTTCTTTGGGTTTGGTTTGTTTTTGGTTTTGTTTTTTTTTTTCCTCCGAGCCCCACCAAGGACACTTTGTGTGGACTTCAGCACCGACCCATCGATATTATTAAAACAGTATTGTTTAGCCCTTTCGTGTATAGACTTTAAGAAAAGTTCGATTTTTTTTTTCCTCAGTATTGCAGCAATACAACGTTTTGGTTTTTTTATTTTTTACAAAAGTTGTTTTCTACCACAGTATTTGTTAAAAAAATATTTTAAATAAATCTCGTGTATACTCACACACTATTGCTTTAAAAGGAGAATATATTTGCACTTATGTATACTTTTTACAGTTTGCCAAAATATTTTGATGTACAAATTTTTTTTTTCCAATAAAATGTATATAAACGACTATACACTAGAGAGGCGCTTCTTTTCCCTCAGCTCCTTCTGAGAAAAGCCTTCCAACCCAGCATCCGAGATCGTCAAAGCTGCCAGCCCAAATCCTCCAGCCGCTGGAGGTGGAGGAGGGGAGCGAGTGGTTGACCCGAGGGGGCCAGTGCCGTGGTCTCTGGGCTGCACCTCCCGCCCTCACCCTCGTACCACCTCGCTTTTCCCCGCTGCTGGATAGACTTTGGAATCACTGCGGCAGTGGACACAGAAGCGGCAGGGTTCAGACCGCATGCTCCTCTCTTCGACGGCTCCCCCGGGCCCGAAACGCTGTCCCGGCTGTTTAGGGCTGCGTCCAGGTGTCCCCGTGTCCCCTGCCCACACCTGCCAGGTGCGGGGGCAGGAGCGCCGATGCAACGCCCGGGAGGGGATGTCGTGGGTGGGCGGCGAGAGGCACTCGCGAATAAACCCGTGGCTGGATAGGGACTGACCGAGAGCGGAGTGGCCAGTGGACGGGACGGGAGGGGAGAAAAAAGGAAAAAGACTAAAAGGAAAATAAAAAAGGGCTCCGAAAATACTCCAAGCGAAACAAACCCAGTCCCCAGGATGCCGCCATGCCCTGCACG